GAAATGGAGTCTCGCTCTGTCGCCCCAGGCTGAGTGCAGTGGCGGCGATCTCGGCTCACTCCAAGCCACCTCCCGGGTTCACGCCATTCTCCTGCCTCAGCCTCCCGAGTAGCTGGGACTACAGGCGCCCGCCACCGCGCCTGGCTAATTTTTGTATTTTTAATAGCGACGGAGTTTCACCGTGGTCTCGATCTCCTGACCTTGTGATCCGCCTGCCTCGCCTCCCAAAGTGCTGAGATTACAGGCATGAGCCACCGCGCCCGGCCTACTCTCTACTGTTTGTTGTTTTGAGACAAATTCTCACTCTGTCGCCCAGGATGGAGTGAAGTGGTGCGGATCTGGGCTCACTACAACCTCTGACTCCCAGGTTCAAGCGATCCTCCCAGCCTCAGCCTCCTGAGTAGCTGGGGTTACAGGTGCACACCACCACGCCGGATAATTTTTGTGTTTTTAGTAGAGGCAGATTTTTGCCAAAAAAAAAAAAAAAAAAAAAGAGAGTAAAGCCTGGTCCTGGAACCCCAGTCTGAGAGGCCAAGTCTGCTCCTTGCAACCTTTGGAGCTTTGCTTACCCAGGGAGCAGGTTGCGGGGTTCGCTCGTCCACCTGCAGGTAGATTTGGTGCAGCCTGGGCTCAAACTCAAGGGGTACAACAGCCCTTCCTCCCTGGGCCTCTGTTTCCTCCTCTGTAAAGCAAGGATTATTCATCATTAACGCATGTTTATTAAGCATTTAAGGCATCCAGGTCTGTTAGGACATCCTGCCCTCAGGGACCTCATGTCTGGTAGACAAGGGAACGATGAAATGACTTCTGACAGGATTTTGCAAAAGAAAGAAAAGCAGGCAGAGCACCAGGCCAAGACTGCAGTGGCTGCTGAAGGCTGCTTTGTGGAGGTGGTGATTCAGGGCAACACCACGCCCAAAGGCCCTGAGGCGAGGACGTGTTCAGCCCCTTGGGACAACATTGAGGAGGTGACTGTGACTGAAGCTAAGGGAGTTGGGGAGAGTGGGGAGGCACCATGTAGGCAGGGAGGGCTACAGGCTGAGCATCAGGGACCTGTGGGCCCCCAGCAAGGAATGTAGACTTTATACTTAGAGCACTGGGGAGCCACTGAAGGCTTTTGAGCAGGAGAGGCCATGATCTTTTTTTTTTTTTTGA